ATCGTTTGACGTCCGACACGGAGCTGGACAATGCATGACTTTGTAGGCTTCTGTGGGCGAGTGCATGAAACTGCCTCTGAGTGTTTCTGATTGCGTATATTGTTTCTCCCTCGTGTTTGTATCACCATAAAAGTCTGCGGGCACTTGTTGTCTCCGACGCACTGTGCGTGAGCAATGGACGCACACTGCTGCAAAAAAGTATCGGAAATACTGAGCAGCCCTGTGCGTTTACATGCTTGACCACATACAGCACATGTTTAGCTTATTTTAGAGATATTTTACTTCTGCGTGTGTGTCTTGTGCATGTGAAGTTCTTTGGGCAGCTAGTCTTATAAATGTGCTACACAAATAAAGCTGACAGACATTTTTAGAAGACATTATCCACACCCATTTACATTTGCATAATTTCTTGTGCGTTGCTGATATACTATAACATTGCCAAGACAGAATTAACCCATTGACTGCCATTGACGTATTTGTCTGAGACCCTCTATTTGGCTGGGGATAAATGGACAGCAAAAATAGCTAGAAACAAACTTATTTTGATGATTGAAAGTAGACAATCCAGTCTTTCAGAATCTGCTTTCATTTTTCACATAGTTTTAGGAGATAATATTCTGTGGGTCTTGAGAAACAGTGAAATTATCAAAACGGTTGGCAGACAATGAGTTAACAATGAATTCTATGGGGACAAACTGGAGCAAATTTAAAGTGGCATTCCAGAACATGGAGAGCGTAGGGTCTGCTTTTTGCTTGGAATTTTCCAGAATATGGTATTAAAGACATCTATATTGAATATTTGGAGATGCAAGTGATTTCACTATAGGCCCTTAAGGCTAAGTTACAGCTCAGTCAGTAATAACACATTATGTACAAGGTATATATCATACTGACATACTATGCTAATACATAACATCTCCATGGCAACAAGCAGGTACAGGACACCATCAGAAAAGTTGCTCTATGCACCTTTAAAGATGTATATTATGCAAGATGCCAGTTATCCCAAACAATGACTGGACTTGTACACAATTGGCATCTTACTTTTTCTTTTAACATTATCAATATTTAAAACCACAGAAATCTTTACATGTAGACATAATTAAAGCTTGGACACCTAACTTTAAAAACGCAAATAAACAAAACTTTATAATAACATCCATTTATCTTGTTCCTGGCTCTAAAACAGTTTGGTTCCATCACTAGTTTTTTTACATGCATGTATGATTGGCCCCTGTCAAATCTCTAGATCAGCTTTTCCAGACAGAAACGTTAAAAAGAGTGGACCACCCTCACTCAGCCAATCGGCTCTCATCCCAAAGCCAAAAATAGTGACTCCCAAAGCTCTATCGTACAAGTATGCAAAAGACAGTATTTTCTGGTCTGGTCTTCACAAAATGTTACTTTTAAGTCTCTTTCTGTTGGGACATGGATACAATAATAGTGAGGTACTCCAGCTTTAAATATATAAAAACCAGGAAGTAATACTGCTTATAATTCAACGCCTGCTCCTCCCCCTTGTCAATCACACACACACGCCGTGCAGAGAAGTGTGCCATATGGGGACTCTTTAAACCTATAGAACGTGTCATTTCTCTTCCCTGCCTCTTCTTTCCTTTCCCTGGGGGCTCTTTACCTTTTGAAGTTGTCGTCTTGCTCACTCTTACACACAGTGTGGCAGGTGTGCGCGCGGCAACCATCAAGCCTCACTTTTGCGTGTCATCTGCCATATGCCTTTCCCTTTGTTTCCAAACGCACCTGATCGCACTCTATCCGCAAACAGAAGCAAATAATTCATTCATCTTTTCATTCCACCCCTTCTATCTCTGACTTGTTTGACAAAGCTGCTGCAGACTGTGTTTACAAATCAGTCTGTGCACAAAAAGCGAAGAGCAAATCAGAGCCATCGCCATGCAGACCACAAACCAATCACAGGCCACGCTCAAGCAGGAGTCGACCAATGAGGGTTAGGACAGCCGCTGCAATCCAATAAGCAACAGGAGCCAGAAGCAGCAGCAGTTAGAGATAGTTGAACCAATCCAAAGGAGAGCTTTGAAGAGTTGTTTTTGAATTTCTTTTCACAGCCAAGGAGCTTTGACTCTAATGCATGTTGTAATCCCATGTTTGGAGCCGATAATGCAGGGTTGATACATGGAGCAATCCTGCTCGACGCCCCCAGATCAGACTGTTGAAGAAAAATATCTATGTTTTTTTGTACAAAGTGAGCGGAGCAGGTTACACACACTGCAGGATGATGAAATTACAGCCAGGATTGGAAACAATTTTTTTTGAGCAATAACATTCCAACCACCCAGGGGTTTCTTTGTTTGCCTCTGCAGTAGCTACCATTATTGACTTTGTTATATGAAGTTTTGTAAGCAGGTTGTGGTTATGATTTGGAAAAAAGGGCTAAATTGAGCAAGATTTGGTGAATACAATGTGAAAGCTTGAAGTGGGGAATTTTCAGTGTTCAAATAACAGAATGTTAATGTATAAAACAAGATACCTGAAAACTGTTCAGCTTTAGTAAAAGAGATGCCTGGAACATTGGCTCCCGCTACCCTATAGACCATTGATGTGTTTTGACTTTCTTTGTGCCAATTTGTGGTTCTTTGTGTGCCATTTAAAGATTAAATTAGATTAAGAGTCGGGACAAACACTGTAGGCCACACGTAGGGGCTGGTGCTCTGTGGACTGGGTGGCATCTCTGGCCACCCCCCCCGACCCAGAAATGGATTAAGGGGAAGCAAATGGATGGATGGATGGATGGACAAACACTGACTTTTTTGTACGGCTCAAAATCCTTAGTTGATTGAGGACTGCACAAACATTGAAATGATTTGAACTTTTACATGAAATGCTGCACAATTACACAGGCATGCTTTTGTTTACATTTATACATAACATTGTTGTGCTGTGGACAGATTTAAATGAATACTTCTTTAAGTGTTTTGTAGATTTTCAGATTTTGCACAGCCATTTCTTGCTTATTGACCCGTCCTGCACCTGCGTGTGTATGCACTGCAAAAAGTGAAGAAAAATAAGTTTAGAACATGTTCTTCTTTTGAGCACATTGTGACTGCCTTTAAAACTGGATTTGCCAATGGAACAAGCTAAATGATCTTGTTTTAAAAAGATAGCAGAAACGTCTCCCTTCGAATTATAAAAAAAAAAATGGATTCAAGCAATCACTACCTCATATTCTACCATTTGCAGTGTGTGTGTATGTTCTGCTGTCGAAAAATAACAAAACAATGCAAACAAAATATGAAATCGGCTTTTAAAAGGAAATTAGACAAATGCATCTTGGGGGAACACTTGAGAGCTTTGAATGTAGCCTTAAATGCCACGTATGTTAAACGGTACTTTGGAGAGTGCACATCCGGCATCTTAAAACACAATAAAAGTAAGAGGCGTGACATTGGCGCGCGTGCTGCCAACTGTTGCGGAGACAGAAAGCCTCTGTAAAAGCCACTTCAGACCCCTCCTCTCCGCCGCGGCACACTTTGGATCATGGGCCCCTGTACACCCAATCCCCGGGCCCTTTGTCCCCATGAATGAATGAGAGAGGAGGGGAGTGTTTGCATGCGGGACAGCTGGCTCTCCACCTCCATCAGTCGCAGCTGCCCCAGTCTCGGACCCTCAGGGTGAAGTAGATTAGAGGCTGCTGCAGGGCCAGAGGAGGGTCTGCATCAGTCTGTGTGTGTGTGTGTGTGTGTGTGTGTGTGTGTGTGTGTGTGTGCGTGTGTGTGTGTGTGTGTGTGTGTGTGTGCGTGTGTGTGCCCAGTCATGCTACCCCTGTCTTTGTTCTCTGTGCCACTTTCCTTTATGTACATTCTGCTTCACAACAAAAGATGCCCAGGCAAAAGTGAAGACAATATGGAACAAAAAAAAACTCATTTTGAATCCAATCCAATCCACTTTTATTCATTCAAGATTCAAGAAAAATATTTTCCATTTGCATTAAAACCACATTGGACGAACTGTGCAAGACTACCCCCAGTGTGCACCAGACAAGACGGCACACACCAGAGCTCTTGCCACATTTATATTGTCATATCTATACAGCACATTTTGATTTAATTCTAATGTTGAAAGTTGTTGCACCCTTAGCATATTGACAAATGTCACTTTTTTACATGTGCAATCATATGTTTTCCGCTTTGGTTGTTTTTACGCAACAGAAAATAGATAGTAAATGTGCCAATATTTTCTGCACAAAACTGACTATGCACCAGGGGTAGGGTTACGGTCCTCCTTCTTCTTCTCCTGCAAATATTGTTAGTATAAAGCATATAGCAGAAAAGCCATGTAGTCAGTTGGAAACGTCATTAGCATTTACTGCAGCAGTATAAGGCGGGAAATGTGGACTTTGGCACGAGTCCATACCTTTGTATGTTTTTCACTTTTTAGCCACATCATTCATTTAGTGTGTGTACATTTTTCTTTTGTATTTTCTATAGTACACACAATGGAAGAGCTCAGCCATTTAGATGTTCACAGGTTAAAGTCTGACAATTAGAATATCGTTCAAAAGTTTTATGTGATTCAACTTACAATGTGTGGTACATAACAGACAACACAGTTAAGTATTTGTTTAATGTCAATAATTGTCTTGTATAAATACACAAACTGAGACACAAGTTAAATACTGTAGGGCGGGGCCATCAACACAGGAACAGGAAAAGAAACTCAAAAGCACACAGGACAACGCACTGTTACACAATGGTATCAAATAATAAAAAGATCCACTCCAGGACAATATCATATTTTGGTTTCACATTTGAAGTTGATTAATAAATGTTCATATATATATAGGAAATAGGTTTTAATGAAATACGTTTGTCAGTTGTCCTCACAGTTGTGTGTATATTGCAGGTAAGTTTGCAAACAGAGAAAGATGAGAAAAGACAAACAATACATTTCTCTGGACACACAAAAACAGTTGAATCATTTAGCACACTCGTCACTTCTGTCTGAAACTGGAGCAGTGAAAGTCTATGGGACAGTGGGAGAGTGCGAGGGTGGGACAGTGGGACAGTGGAAGAGTGGGACAGTGGGACAGTGGGAGAGTGGACCAGTGGGAGAGTGGGACAGTGGGACGGTGGAAGAGTGGGACAGTGGGAGAGTGGACCAGTGGGAGAGTGGACCAGTGGGAGAGTGGGACAGTGGGAGAGTGGACCAGTGGGAGAGTGGACCAGTGGGAGAGTGGGACAGTGGGAGAGTGGGACAGTGGGACGGTGGAAGAGTGGGACAGTGGGAGAGTGGGAGCGTGGACCAGTGGAACAGTGGGGCAGTGGAAGAGAGGACCAGTGGGAAAGTGGACCAGTGGGCCAGTGGGACAGTGGGTAGCAGGTTGGAGCCACAGAGCAGGACTTTAAATCCCCACAGAATTGATCCTGCCAGTAACTGACAGCTGTGCTCCTGCCTGTACGACATTTGAGCCACTTCCTTTCAGAAAATACAAGCCTCTGATAAAGGCCGACGAGGCCAACTGTGCAAAGAAAAGACAAAAAAACGTTGAAAAGAGCCGTGCGGAGATAAAGAGTGGCACACATTTTGGAGTGTAGGTGAATGAGGAAAAAATATTGTCCTTATAAGAAGTTGAAATTTAATCTTGCCACAAAAAATGAATTTTCTCGATATTTGTGGGTTTCACTTTTCAACTTTATTATACACTGTTCCTGTAAACATACAAATCATACCATCATAGCATCTTGTTCACGTCCAACTCATTGTATTGCACTCCAAGCACCGGAAATACAAATATAAAACATATAGTGCTCATGTGAAATTAGCATGAAATAAGCCTGGGCAAATAGTGAATACTCAGCCGCCCATGAAAACTAAAGACAACTATACAAACAATACTCTGTACTTCAGCTGAAATTGCAGAAATACAACTGGAATTGTCATGGAAAGCGCTTTATGCCTTTGAGCAAATGTATTTTGAATGACTCACCTCACATACATTCAAAAAGTTTGTTCAAAAGTTAATTTATTTCTGTAATTCATGAGCTAATTACATGCAAAGTGAGGTATGTCTGTAATAATTGTATAACTTCATGAAATGATTATACATTTTAAACAGTAAGTTTTCATGTTGCTGCTTGCATACAGGACAGCAGTAAGAGCACACAAAATATACATTACTCTCTGCTCAGAGCATCTCTTGTTCCTCCATTTAACTTTAGTACTTCTTTTAAAAATTGAATCAAAAGTAAAGTACTTTTCTCGACATTCTGATTTTCCGAGTTTCACCTGCTCTGTGCACCATCTCCTCTCGTCAACCCTGCATGAAGCGTAATATATAGTGCCCTTTTGTTGACTTTCCTTGAGACAATGACCTGCATATTTAAGCACATGTTTTGCCAAAGTGACACAATTATCTCAAATAAAATCTCCATTAAAAGAGAGGATAGTAAAGTATCGCTCAGTGTGGCTCTCACCCCTCCTTGCTGCAGCGTTTTTTACATCCCTGTTTTCTGAGAGCAGGCAGATGCAGCTATAGCGCCCTGCCCCACACCCTGCCCCACACCCCGCCCCACACCCTGCCCCGCACCAGACACACTATTGACACAGAGGAGTCACTGAGACCTCGCCAACACTCTGATATTTGCACAGCAGCTCGGGCCACATGCTAATTGACGTGCGTGTTAATCAAAAGAGCAATTTCAGAGCATGATAGGAAAATGATAGGTTGAGTGTGTGGACACAAGAGGAGGTTAAAAGCACCGATGAGGAGAGAGTGGTGTTGTAGACCCACGGATGCAAATCATGGAAATAGTTGTCAGCGGTGAGATGATTATAGCCGCTTTTTAAAATGTCAGGGATGAGACAACAGATAAAATAAAGAGCAGTCAAAATGTGTTTAGCTTATTGAGCTTTTTAACATTGCCAGAGGAATCTATTGGGTTTTTATTGAATATTGCAAATGTCTAATGGTCAAACTTAAATGCTCTTTGATCTTAAAGGTGTACTGCTTTTAGACACAGAACTAACATATACAATTAAATGCATGGTTTAGTGCAGCGGTTTCAAGCTCCTTTTGGTCAGGGGTCAAACCTAAACAAAAACATTTACATTACAGGTGTTATTAAGGTTTTTTTTTTTTTTTTTTTTACAAATGAATTGGATTTGATATGAGTTTGGATATTGGTAGGTTTATTCTGAACAAAACTCGACCAAACATTTAAGAAACTTTTCAAAAAAATCTTGAACTATTACTGATACTGAAATGAGGTATAATATATCATAGTAGTCCATTATCATACAGTAAAAACTGAATTTGAAACAATTCCAGGGGCCTCTAAAAATTGTCTTGTGCGTTGATTTGGGCCGTGGGCCTAAATGTGGTTTAGTGCCATAGTCCCCAACCTGGACCTACAGAACAGACACCCCCAGCTAAGACCATGCTGTACCCCTCCCCCTGCTTTGGTGCCCTCTCCCTGCCCCTTGGCGATGGCTTTGACAAACTCAGTCCTGGATCTATTGCCTGTTTTTCCTTGACGATGCAAGTAAGGACAGAGAATGAACAGGGACATTTATGGATAGTGGTTTAACCTCTTATTCAATGGACCAATGAATGGAGGAGGTTTTGGTTTTGTTAAGTGTTCTGACTGTTTGATTTTCCAAACTGCTGCTGGTGAATCAATAATTCTGCGAGCCAGTTCAATACAACTGCTGTTGTGATTCTGGACAGGTCAAAAATATATTGATTTGATAATATTGTACTTTCAACACAAGCCAAACAGCATCTTCATGTAGACAAAAGAAGTCATCAAGAAGTTATTACACAATAAAAGACAAAACATACAAGAAAAAAAGACACAACAGCGGAAATTATACTACTTAAGAGCTCAATTTGAGAATTAAACCTGACATGTGCGCCGCAGAGAAGCCGCTCGAGGCTCCAGACCTGAGGCTGCTTTTATTGGACTCTTAAAACTTTCCCATTCCCCAATTTTGTCACTGTAATAAAATAAAAAATGCTACGTGTATTCATATATACATTATAAGCACACGCTAGGCAAATGTTAACTTTGGGCATTTGATTTTCAATGAAATTCAATGTATATTTGTATAGCCCTAAATCACAACAGTAGTTATCTCAGAGGACTTAACAAAACTGTTGAATTCTCCATTATAGATCAGAGAATCAAACGGTTCAAACCCAAGAAATGCAATGATAATAAACACATAGAAAAATTGGTCCATAAGGGGCATGTTCATAAATGATGATACAGTAACTGTCCATAAACGTTGTGGATCATCACCTCTGTCCTTTTACTTAATCCTTTTCATTTTCACACATATAGTTCTCAGCTGTGTGAAAATAAGTCAGCGAGCTTTACTTAACAAAACAAAACTGCAGCATTTTTTTCCCCTGTGCGCTCTTAAAGGCATCTCTGCACGTTGTCTCAATCCGATTCAATTGACAAGTACACAGCTCAACAGCATAAGAATCTAAACAAACTGGCTTTTCACACCTTGATTCTCGCGAACGGGTTCACAATCACATGCATATTTATCAATCCGATTCAATTTGAGATAGTGGAAAATGTACTTTTCGCTAGTGCTTTGTAAACCCACTCATTAATATTTCAAACCGTGAAAAGATGCCATCCTTCCAAGATAGATTTCATGCCGCTAAGTGGCCTCGCAGCTATACCCCCGCACCCACCCTCTTCATAACAACAATATTCAAACAGAGCATCAAAATGTATACCCCTCATCAGTCATCGCTGCGTGTCTTGCAGAGTTCAGTGCAACCTTGTCTCGTGCCTTTGTTCACATCAGATGATAATGCTAATGCTAATGCCTGGGGTTGGCGACAATGCCCCCTCCTCCAGTTTTCATGACACATCCCCACTGGCACCGCAAACCCACTGACCCCCTCAACCCCCCGATCACGTCACTCAGTCTGATCCAGTGAGACCTCCTAGTTCAGGCTGCCATTGTCTCCCACGGCGACCAACGAGCATCCTTAATTAGGCCGAGGGGTGCCCCAGTAATTAAAGTGACGGTTGATTCTATTACTGAGTCTTTGTCCGCCTCCCATTGTTTCCAGAACCCGTTTGTATTGTGTGAAAACATAACTCCGCACTCAAAGCAAACACAGGACAATGCAAGGGTTCGGAATTGTGTTGTGTGTGAAAAGTTAAGTAAGGTCGAAGAGGACAATGGAAGAATGTTGAATATATTTTAGCGGGTTAATCTAACTGTCAAGTAATGCATAAATGTGAGAATGTTAGTGTCGTGTAATACAATTGCCAACACGTGGTTCGATTTGACACACTTTTACGCCTTTTTAAAGCTGGGGTATGTAACGTGGTGTGTCCCAACACGAGGAGTCTCAATAAAGTAAAGTAGACCAAATCTCGCTGCGTTTACCTTTAATTAAAAAAAACATTTTATATTTGTAATAGTTGTAAGAATGGAGGAACAATTAGGTGGATTTTAGTTGATAGTTTCATTATTTGTAGTGTGAAATGATGTTATGTATTGCAGCTTTAATGTTTATTGTGGTCAATTATTCAGAAAAAAAAAAAATCTGAATCTGAATTATTTTTATTGCCATTGTAAGAAACAGGAAGTCACAAACCACGGAATTGTTCTGGCTTTCGCTGCTAAAGTAAAAATAGATATAAGGCCTTAAAAAATATCTTCATAACACTTCTACTATACCATACCATACAATATACGATAGGGTTTTATTGGACTTATATTGACGTTGTGGAGTAAATGCTCTCATGACATGATTTCAACCAGGAACATGGATGTTTGCATATTGTGAAAGCTTCAACATGCGCTTTGTTCAGTTACGGTAAATTAATGAGTATAAAGTTAACTCACACAAGCAGCCTTGAGAACTGGCCACAGAGTAATGAGAAATGAAGCCGTATGAATTGTCAACTATTTGTTTACAATTGTTCAAATGTATATTTACTTGAGCGAGAAGGTTTTATATAATCAAAAGAAATGAATTAGGTAAGTTGAGGACTTATAGTGAGACGTGCCCCAAGGTTCAGTTCTTGGGCCCCTTTTGCTTTTTGGCTCCCTTTACCATAGCTGATGCAGGGGTTCAGTGATGTCTCATATCACTTGTACGCAGATAACCTCAAGTCGTACTGCTCCTTTAAGTCCTCCGAACCTCAAAGACTGGCTTCCCTCACAAACTGTCTTAACAAAATAAAGCAATGGCTCAGTGATAATAGCCTCCAGCTGAACTCCAGTAAAACGGAAACCCTTGTCGTTGCCCCAGACAGTATTGGGCTTTCTATTACTCTATTAAGTCTGAGGAACCTTGAAGTAACTTTTGATGAAGAGGTGTGTCTCAAACTGAATACAAAACAGCTGATCAAAAACTATAACCTCCAAT